ACGCATACCACAATTCAAGTGGTGCAACAATTTGGTACTAAATTTCAGTGAAAAATTACGAAATTCAGTCGGTTTTCGACAAACGGACTCAGAGCTAACTTCTGCCGGAGTTGATCCGACGACCTCTCGCTTACTAGGCGGGTGCTCTACCAACTAAGCTAAGAAGGCACGTTCCCTCGAGTGTGGAGTCTAACCATGCCATAGAATTTCACAATGGAACGCATACCACAATTCAAGTGGTGCAACAATTTGGTACTAAATTTCAGTGAAAAATTACGAAATGCAGTCGGTTTTCGACAAACGGACTCAGAGCTAGCCTTCTGCCGGAGTTGAACCGACGACCTCCCGCTTACTAAGCGGGTGCTCTACCAACTAAGCTAAGAAGGCACGTTCCCTCGAGTGTGGAGTCTAACCATGCCATAGAATTCCACAATGAAACGCATACCACAATTCAAGTGGTGCAACAATTTGGTACTAAATTTCAGTGAAAAATTACGAAATGCAGTCGGTTTTCGACAAACGGACTCAGAGCTAGCCTTCTGCCGGAGTTGAACCGACGACCTCCCGCTTACTAAGCGGGTGCTCTACCAACTAATCTAAGAAGGCACGTTCCCTCGAGTGTGGAGTCTAACCATGCCATAGAATTCCACAATGAAACGCATACCACAATTCAAGTGGTGCAACAATTTGGTACTAAATTTCAGTGAAAAATTACGAAATGCAGTCGGTTTCCGACAAACGAACTCAGAGCTAGCCTTCTGTCGGAGTTGAACCGACGACCTCCCGCTTACTAAGAGGGTGCTCCACCAACTAAGCTAAGAAGGCACGTTACCTCGAGTGTGGAGTCTAACCATGCCATAGAATTCCACAATGAAACGCATACCACAATTCAAGTGGTGCAACAATTTGGTACTAAATTTCAGTGAAAAATTACGAAATGCAGTCGGTTTCCGACAAACGAACTCGAAGCAAGCCTTCTGCTGGAGTTGAACCGACGACCTCCCGCTTACTAAGCGGGTGCTCTACAACTAAAGCTAGAAGGCACGGTCTCGCAAGTGTAAAGT